CAGAAAAACACTTTGTCTCAGGGCAACATATTTATTCCCTTTGATGAAGAGAGTAATGATGGATTTCTTTTTAGCTTGGTTGCAACTTACAAAGCTACTTTCTTTTTGAAAAAGTATGACTAGATTGCCATGATCAAAACTAAATTAAATAAATGAAGTTTTGAAAAATACAGTTCTTACTTTCTGTACCATGTAACCATCAATACTGGTACTTATCTTGATGAGAATAAGACATATGTCCATATATTGATTCTGTGTAGGAAAACAATTTATTCAATGGCCACTGTTCTGAGTAAAGAATTGTCTTAAAACTGATCACATTAAAATGGTTCAGTTTTCTGGCAAGTTCAGCCATTTTGCATTTGGCTCACATCATATTCTCATCAAGAAAACAACAATGCTTATGGCTACATAGTACAGAAATTAAGAGCTGTGTCAAGCAAATGTGTTGTCAGATTTTGTCCACCAGAGGTAAAGTGATCTCTGCTTGTAGATCACTGCTACATGGATAGACTGCTGATGAAAGGTTGCCTTAAGATCAGCCTTCTGGAGCACATAGGCTGGAATTCTCCAAAGTCCACATGAAAGACATGAAAATCTCACTAAATACCAGGCTTATACTTTCTGAGACATCTGTTGGCCAGACTTTTCATCTCATCATTGATATTGCACAATACAACAGACACAAAACACTACTGCCATCAATTGCCTCTGTATGCCTTTGGCAACATACAGGAGCTGATAGGAATACCAGAAGATACCAGTTCAGGTGAAATGATTCCTGTTCATCCTATGGTGAGCAAGACAAAGGCCCCTCCTCCAGCTTAATCACATGCAATACATTTTTCATGTGATATGGAGTGAAACTTATACTAAAAATATGCCACTGCTCCATGTGCATAAACGAAGTAAACAGATCTTTGGCAAAGACTAGAGTTTTCCCAATGCTGTTTCACAGCCTCACTTTCCACAGAGCACCAGGAACACTGAGTTTATAATGAAGATATTAAACAGTAATTTAATGAAGACTGGTGCCTAATGACTTATTGCATTGTTATATCTGCAAATGGTTTAAACAGGTGCTTGCACACTAGTGATTTTGTAGAATGGTAGATAGCACTGAATAAAGTCATTATGATTGAAATCTACGTAATCCTGGTATAAAAAACAAAACAAACAATGACTACACCACCAAACAGCGGACCATTCCAAAAACGTTTGGACAAGATTTAGTATATTTGTATTGGTTTGCAGTAAGGTAAGGTTTTTCTGCCTTCTCTCTCATTTCATTCATGCTATCCAACAGTGAAATCTGCAGTACAAGATGGTGTCCAGATACTTTTCTCTTCCTTCACACCCTAGCATATGGGATCTCTTAGCCCAGCAATACGTACTCCTCCCTACACACTTGTTTGAGGCCCAGTAGATAGCCACTGATATCATGTGTCATTATTTGGCTCTGCTTCAGCACCTCACTACAGAACACTGAGGCCAGAAAGGAATGAATAGAAGTATAAACTGTTCCAAGCTTCTGCTGTGTGTTTCTGCAGAAGTAAAAAGTCCATGTGATTTGGTATGGCCCAACTGCAGAGAACGGAACAGCTAAAGACACAGGGAACCAGGCATCGTAATACTGAGGATGGCTAGCCTGGGCTAGGCAGAACAGAGTGTAAGGCAATAATCATGGAAATTTTAACAGAATACTAATATAAGTTTGCAGTAAGTCTTCCCTGCCTGCAATAGGTTTACCCTTGGCTGGGTGCCAACTCCACACAGCTGCTCTCTCACCCTCCCCCCTCCCGGGGATGGGGGAGAGAATTAAAGGGGTAAAGGGAAAAAATACTCGTGGTTTGAGAGAAGAACAATTTAATAACTAAACTACAATAATATTGGAAATAATAATATATACAAATAAACAAATGAGTGATACACAGTGATACTGCTCACCACCTGATGACCAAGGCTCAGCCCGTTCCTAGCTAACGATCCCG